GCGAATATATTTTATCTTACATTAAATAATCGAATTGGAATGTGCACGTGTTTCCGGCTATATATCGTGATCGCGTGAGACATTTTTAATAGCCGGCGTATCCGGGTGATGTCATTATTCTCAGTAGCATTCAACTGATCATGTAAAGTATAAATTGAAAAATAAACGAATTTTTGTTATTATGGTAATCGATAAAATATATACGAGGTAACTCGTAAAATATAAATTGAAAAAATTTAGAAGTTTTACGCTAATGGTTGTAGGTTTTAATTACAAAAAAATACGAGGAAAAATTGCTCTCTTTGTCTGTCATTCGTCTTCTTCTCTTTGTCAATTCATAGAACGCAGTCACCGACCAGCGATTGTACATCGTTCTCATTGGTTACGTTGGACGTGTAGCTTCGTTATTATTGGGGGGGGCGTCTTTTCGGGAGGAATGGGGGGACTGGGAACGTCTTTTCGGGGGGAATGGGGGGGACTGGGGGCGTCTTTTCGTTAATATTGTGGTACGACTCCACCATTAGTCGATGCACGTCTTTCTCATTGGCCGTTGATGCACACCATTGGCCTCCAACGTCACGAGGATGTCCGCCATTGGTTGAGGACACGTTTCAGTGGCATCATTGGTCGAGAAAAACGTTCTAACGTCACGAGGAGGGTGTTACTATGACACCATTGGTCCCTCATCGCTATACCGCCATTTCTATGTTGTTTATTCAAATTCTAAGCTGTCATTGGTCGCTGGGGGTGTTGCTATTCCCACCACTGACGCTGCTATGTTGCCATTGGTCAACGACACGTTCCGACGTCACGAGGACGTCCTCCATTGGCCAGCAGGCCATTGGGGGACGTTCCTATGCCACCATTGGTCTGCTATTCCCACCACTGACGCTGCTATGCTGTCATTGGTCGACGACACGTTCCGACGTCACGAGGAGGGCGTTACTATGCCACCATTGGCCTGATATTCCCACCACTGACGCTGCTATGCTGTCATTGGTCGACGACACGTTCCGACGTCACGAGGAGGGCGTTACTATGCCACCATTGGCCTGATATTCCCACCACTGACGCTGCTATGCTGTCATTGGTCAACGACACGTTCCGACGTCACGAGGAGGGCGTTACTATGTCACCATTGGTTCCTCATCGCTAGACCGCCATTTCTATGATGTTTATTCAAATTCTGAGCTGTCATTGGTCGCTGGGGGTGTTGCTATTCCCACCACTGACGCTGCTATGCTGCCATTGGTCGACGACACGTTCCGACGTCACGAGAACGTCCACCATTGGTCAGCAAGACATGGGGGGACGTTCCTACGCCACCATTGGCCGAGGGGCGTGGTCTAGAGACACGAGGTACGTTCCTACGTCACCATTGGTCGAGGGGCGTGGCCTCGAGACCCTAGGCACGTTCCTACGTCACGAGGGGGGCGTGGCCTTGGCCCATGAGGATACGTACGCTTGACGATCGATGTGTGACGTCACTTCCGCTCCAGAAGGAACACTATCTACCTACTCATAGTATATAAAAATCTTTCTCTATTTTCATACATCTTATTTTTTTTTTCAAGTTGGTTAATTCCTGAATGGGTTTCTTCATCTTTTCGCTGATACTCTATATATTTCAGGCGCCAATGTTCGTAGTCGTGTTTTGTAGCCGCAGTTATTAAAAAACGGTTATTAAAAACTATTAAATCTGAAAGCTAGAAACATTTCATGGATTAAGATGTTTTATTTTTTAGCGACGCTATTTAATTCAAGATGCTGCAGTTTATGGACTTTATAAAGTCCAGATTTGGGACTCTATAAAGACTCCTTGTCTAGGATTACAGACGAAGGGTAGATGATGCTTTTAAGCTGCAGTGAAAGCAAATTGTCTAGGAGAAGGAAAAGTTCAAAATTAAACCCTGGCCCTCCAAGTCGGGGGTTAAGATCGGGATAACTCCCCGTTACTAAAAAAATCAACAAACGACGACGTACGCTACGAAAAAAGATTGTGAATTTCGGAACTTGGAACATGCAAAGTTTTAAACCTAAAATAAATGATATAATGTATGAAATGAATAAGCTAAATTTGGACATCACAATATTCACTGAAACAAAACGAAAAGGCCAAGGATCCGAAAACATCGGTGAATATGATCATTTCTATAGCGGGGTACCAAAGGAGAAAAGAAATCAACGAGGTGTTGAGATGCTAAGGAAATACATAACTACTTGGAAGGCCATAAACGAGAATAAAAATGAACCTTACGATTAGAGAAAACAAATGCAAAATATTGGGTGTATATGGAGTAAATGATGACGCACCAGTAAACATTAAAAATTATATTTTTGAGAAATTGAATTAGAGTTTGCAAAAGTCGGCACATTTCGAGAAAATATCATTTTGGGAGACTTAAACAGCAGAACTGGAAAAAGCCCCATAACGCAGTTGTAGGTCAATTTGAAGAGGACTACGTAAATGATAATGGTAGAAGACTAATATTATACGAACAAAATGAAATGAAAATTGCAAATGGATTTTTTCACCACAAAGACATATACAAATACACATAGACGCAAAATACGAGAGAGTTAAAATGAATCATAGACTACACAATCATACGACAAAAGACAAATATGATTGTACAAGATGTAAGAGTATTGAGGGAAGCTACCTGTAGAAGCGATCATCACTTATTAAAAGCTAAAATCATATTTGAAGTAAATAAGCTTAACGAAGAAAAAAAAAGGAAATGAAAGGGAGAAAGTAATACAGAAGAGGTATAACCAATCAGCTTAAAACAATAAAGCATAAGAGAATTATACACAAATAGATTAAATCAAAAGTTGGAAAATAAACAATTTAATAATGAAGAACATTACACTCACATCAAAGGGTGTCCCCTGGAGGCAGCAACAGAAGCCATTGAATACCAAATCCAGAATCAAAGAAAACTTCCATATTGGTTTGACGAAGCAATAGAACAAGAAATAAAGAAGAAAAGAGACCAATATCAAACATTCTTAAATACAAATAATATAATAGATAAAATAATCTACAAGGAGTCTCAAGCTAAAGTACGAAAAATGATATGTCGGAAGAAAAATGAAGCATGTTAATAAAAAACATGATAAATTCACATCTAGGAAGACAAAAAAGCTCAGAAAGCTGGAGAGTCTTAAAATTTTTAAAAGATAAGAAGAAAGACATAGTGTTAACAATAACAATGGATGACTGGGACCAATATTTTGAGAAACTCCTAAGGGAATATAGACCACAATTTAAAGACAGCAACAAAACACAAAATATAAATATTTTAACTTTGCCCAAACGAATAACAACGAAAGAAGTGGAAGATGTATGTAGATCTCTAAAAAAAAAAGCACCGGGTCCAGGTAACATCCTTGCAGAATTAATTAAACACGATGCAACCAAACTATATACAAGTTTAGCCAAACTGTTCTAAAACTGCATTAATGAAATGACTATTCCAGAGGAGTGGAAGACATCATTCATATGCACTAAGCACAAAAAAGGCAGAAGGAATGAATGTAACAATTACAGAGGCATTGCCGTGACAAACTCGATCAGTAGAATATACAGAAAAGTAATTAAAAACAATAGAAAACGAATATAAAGACTTAGAGGCTGAGGAATAGGCAGGATTTAGGGCAGGTAGATCTACTGTTGACTATTTGTTTTGCATTACACAGATCATTGAAAAAAAAACCTGTTAATCAAGAAGTATATTTTTGGTATGTAGAGCTACGAAAGGCTTATGATAGCGTACCACATTATAAATTATGGGAAGCATTAGAGAAAACAAACATAAGCATGAATTTAATAAATGTGACAAAGGAACTGTACACTAATACTAACTCAAATGTAAAGGTTGAAAACAATCTGTCTTGTGGATTCCAAATGAATAAAGGCCTAGGTAGGACTGCTGTCTCTCTCCGACATTATTTAAAATTTATATAGAACAGACTTTTAAACTATGGAAGCTCAAATGTAGAATTATTGGAATGCCGATTAACAACAATAGCATATAAACTTTGTCCTTGGAGATGATCAATTAGTGATAACACAAGGTTATGAAGGTATTGAGTATATGACTCGAAAATTAATCGAGGAGTATAAAAAATGGGGACTTGAAATCAATATCCAAAACACCGAGTATATGTGTATCAGCGGAAAACGACAGGGCCTCATATTGGAAGATGGAGAAGTTATCAAACTTTACAACACATATAAATATTTAGTTCTAATCATCACAAAAGAAGGCAACGTAGACGACACAATTGGGGAGAAAAACAACCAAACAAGAAAAGCAATTTCCCTTCACAATAATATCTTTTGGGATCAATCAATATCTAATAATAACAAGCATAAGATATATAATACAATCATTAAAAGTATAATTACCTACAGTAGTGAAGTATGGTAAATAAAGGAAAGATACAAGAGAAAACTTAATGTAACGGAAATGGATTTCTGGAGACGTTCAGCTGGAAAATCTAGACTAGAAAGAGTAACGAACAACAGAATAAGAGAAATTATGAAAGTAAAACATACAATAGTAGACGATATTGGTACCCAACAAGTCAAATGGTACGGTCATGTACAGAGATTGTCGGAAGAACGTCTCCCAAAACCAGTCTTAATGTGGACCCCTCACGGTAGAAAAAAGAGGAACACCCCGATTTCAAAAATACTTTTATGTATGGAAAATATACGAAAACATGGTCAAAGCAAATTATACAAAATATGAGAAATAATATGTAATGAACAAGACTTCACAATTCAACCTTTTAAAAAATATGCGATTGCAGGTGGACAGTTGGTCACACAAGACAAAGGTAAAAAATATATTAGCAAATGATTTACGAAAGATATAAGTAAAATAGCGGAAATTGGACAAGACATGCAGAAGTGGAGTTAAACAGTAAACGCTGTCATTAAAGTTATAGAGCCACAAAAAAAAGAAAAAGTTACAAAAATTTATTGTTACCTTCCAGTCTTGCAGAATTCACACGTCCGACAAGGTACTCCAGGCTCTATTGCAACTCTGTCACCTGGTTGTAAAGATTTAACATTAGAACCACATTTTAAAATGCTTCCGGAGCTTTCGTGTCCAAGTACTATAGGATTCTTTAAATTAAACGGGCCAACTTTACCCTTTAGCCAGTAATGTACGTCGTAACCACAAATTCCTGGAAAAAAATGTTTACTTCTTAATTTAACTTTCAGTTTAATATATATTTTCTGTAAAACACATATTTTTCTTTAATAAATAAAAAATAAAACTAAAATAAACCTATAGTGTATTTTTATGTATGAGAGAGTAATAAAACAATAAATTATGTACACAAATCCCTAAACTGTTGATACGGTGACTTAATGAAAAACAGATATTTGTCAACAAGTTTACAGAAGTATATAGGAAAACAATTTTAAATTGAGTATGACCACAAGGTATAAAGGTTGGAGCAGAATAGAATACAATAGTTGTGAGGGTTACTAATCCCTAAATAAGGTTGCCAGTGTCGGAGTGATGGAGGTTAACAGGTACTAATGAATTTGCAAGAAATGTAAGATGTTTATTTTATTGGTTATATATAACCAATAAAAGTTTAATAAGTACCTACCTATTTGCAAAATAAAGTTTAATTCTGTAGATAAAATAAAACGTTTTATTTTATCTAAAATGAGTGCATTCCACGAAGAAAGGGTTTCAACAATCAAACATTTAATTCTTTAATTCCAGGAATCTACGACAGTAATTGACTAGATAATTACCTTCTAAACTTATTCCACAGAAAATGTGATAGTGGGTTTTTCCATTTTGTAGGAAGGTCCAAGTAGCGTATTCAAAATTCTTAACAGTTCACTAAAAGTAGGTACTTCAGTTGCAAGGTGCAGTTTATTGTGTATAATAGTATTATGGAAAATTTGGAAGTGCCGTGTAAACGCCGAAAAATTGGTCCTTTAACAGTTAATGAAAAAACATTAATATTTAATTGTTTTAAATCATTTACAGACAAACGTTTATGTGAAAGTGTTGATGAGACCGTTGAGTTAGTTAGCAGTACACTTGGTGTTGGGAAATCTACGATTTACAGAGTTATTAAAGAAGAGAAATGTGGTAGTTTTCAAATGCCACGTAATGCTCCAGGGAAACCAAAATTTCAAATAGAATATCATTTTAAAGAAGGACTTCGACCGAAAGTGCATGAATTCTTCTTTAGACAAGAATTTCCAACATTGGATAACGTTATTGTCTCAGTTCGAGATGATAAGGATTACCCAGAAATGAGTCGAAGTACGTTATGGAAACTTTTAAAAGAAATAGGCTTCCTCTGGAAAAAGAATCCCAGAAAGTCTATTTTATTAGAAAGAAGCGATATTGTCATATGGAGAAGACATTTCCTAAGAACCATAAAGGAAATGAGAAACCAAAAAAGAAAAATATTTTATCTTGATGAAACATGGATCAACGAGGGTCATACACCAAATAAATTTTGGCAGGATTAAACTGTTTCAAGTCAAAGGAACGCTTTTGTAAATAACTTATCTACTGGTTTAAACCCACCATCAGGAAAGGGACGCAGGCTGATAATAGTACACATTGGCAGTTCAGACGGTTTTGTTGAAGGTGGCTTATTAACTTTTGAATCAACTCGTACCGGTGACTACCATGAAGACATGAACGCTGATGTCTTTCAAGAATGGTTCGAACAAATGATAGATCTTCTTCCTAAGAACTGTGTAATAGTAATGGATAATGCAAGTTATCACTCCAGACTTATAGAAGGACTGCCACAACCAAGTGGTTAAAAAAAGACTTGCAGAATTGGCTGAGTTCAAAAAATATTACGTACCATCCCGGATCTATAAGAAAGGAACTTTATTTGTTGTGTGCCCTTCATAAAGAAAAATTTAAAAAATACGAAATTGATGAAATTGTCAAAAATCGTGGAATGACAGTACTTAGATCCCCACCATATCATTGTGAATTAAACCCGATTGAACTGGTATGGGCACAGATAAAGAGTGAAGTTTCAAGAAAAAATACCACTTTTAAAATTCATGATGTTAAACAGTTGTTTTTGGAGGCCGTAAATAATGTAAAACCTGAAAACTGGAAAAATGCAGTAAATCACCCTATTAAAGAAGAGGAAAAAATGTGGAAGCTGGACAATATTACTGATAAAATGATCGAGCCAGTTATTATAAATCTTGGTTCTGAAAGTTCATCTTCTGAATCTGATTTGGATTTGTAACAAGTAGTTGTAAGTTTTATATTAATATTTTTATTCATCTATTTAACATACCTTAGACCTTTTAAAAACTCTTTTTCTCTTTTGTAATTTTTAAAAATTAAAAAAATGTGAATTTTTTAAAACCCTTTTTAATGTAGGCCAGTCAGTTCTAATATAGTGTGTGATAAAAGAGGTCACTTTTGTTTACATACACATAACACTTTATAACACTGAAATAATTCATTTATTTTTTACAATTATTCAAAGTAATTTTTCAATTAATCTTGAGCACGCCCATGGAGTGGTCGAAGGTACCAGTTAAAATTATGCTAATTACTCTCTCGTTCATAAAAATAAACTATAATAAAAAATGACTTCTTTTAAAGCAAGAAGGGTCTTCTTTTCTCAATTGATCCATAATTAAGTTTTCATCGGACTAGTGTTTTGTAGCACGAAAGGAAATTGCAATATCTCGGACATGTGATGAAAGGTGAAAGATACAACATCTCGATGCTCATAATTCAAGGAAAAATAAAGGGTAGGACAAGCGTAGGAGGAATACGCGTTTACTGGTTGAAGAACCTGAGAGAGTGGTTTGGTTGCAGGTCAAGGGAATTGTTCAGAGCAGCTGCCTTGGAGGTCAGAATAGTCATGATGATTGCCAACCTTCGTCGCGGAGATGGCACGTAAAGAAGAAGAAGTGATTTGTAAATTTAAATCAAAATTTTAAAATCTGAGTACCAATTACGCATTGTTCGCATTAAATTGAGACCAGATTGAGATAAAGATCATTCCTAAAATTTTTAAGTGTTTCACATAATTTAAGATGTTTCCATGTAACTAAAGATCTGGATTTGTGTAGTGTCGATTTTTTCAAAATAAAATGCATTTGGTCTTGGTTGTCGAAAATTGCAATCCCACAGCTTTCAAACAGTTTTCAAGTTGATGTATTGCACATTGTAAGTTTTTCTGTATAGAAAAAATATTTGTTCCTCTTGAATATATATATATATATATATATATATATATATATATATATATATATATATATATATATATAACCAAATCATCAGCGTATAATCTTGCCTTAACAAGTTTTAAAATATTTTGGAAAAGATTTTGTTTATTGCTATTAAGAATAGTGTTTATCCAACTTATAATGGATCTTTAAGGTGTTTCATTTGTTTGTTCCTTAGTGCCGGATATTGTACCATTTATCTTAACTTTAAATTGTCTAAGTGTGTCAAATGGCTAAGTGTGTTAAGAAGCAAGACATTCCTGTCTCATTCCAAATGATCATGTATTTCGGACTATAAATCTAATAAATGATATATGGTGGATCTGTTCCTACAAAAGTCGCTTTGTTCATTAATTAATTATTTATTATTTTGCAAAAACCAGCATATAATTGACCAGTTCTTCTTAAATTTTGCACATTGTATTGGTAAGAGAAATTGGCCTATAGGAATCAGGATCATTTTGTGATTTATTTGCTTTTAGTAATGGAGCTATTATCACCTGCGTCCTTTTTGTCCTTTTTGTGGGAAACTCATTATTTGTCCAAATTCTGTTGTATAGGTTAAAAAAAAATTTTGTTCATTATCTGGTAGATTTTGTAAGAAACTAACAGAAATATCGTCTGGTCCTGGCGCCGATTTTTTGCTGGTACTTAAAGAGTGATTAAGATCTTCTATGGTAAATGTTACAATGAATGGATTATCTTTAATACTAGCAAAACATATTAATTGATTTTTCGAAATCATCTTAGTATTGATAAACTGTTCAGAAAAGTTGTTATTGCTGGAGTTCATTTTAAATTATTGTTTTGCTAGTAGTTCTGGTATGTCGTTATTAGATGCTACTACCAGATGAGTTTTCTTAACCGCTGCCACACTTTTTAGTTCTTTTTGCAGCTTCCTTTTCATCAATTGCTGGACTCATTGTTTCTTGTGGACCAATTCTGTGCAAAAACTATATAGTCTGTGCTAATACTACAAATGAAAAAGAATGGGCACAACATCGTAATTGCCGGAGTGTATGCCCTTAATAAAGATGCAGATCCAGAAAGTAAAGATAATTTCTACAACAAGATGAATGAAATACTCTCTAATCTAATCTAAGTCAAAGAAAACTGTAAAATCTTTATACTAGGAGATTTAAACAGCAGATTAGGGCGACAAGATAATAACAAAGTCGTAGGAAGATATGGGGAACAAATAACCAATGACAACAAAATGCGTTTTAGAGATTTTTGTAAAACAATGTCTCTCAAAACTATAAATGGATTTTTTCAACATAGAGACATTCACAAATTTACATGGATACAACCTACTAGGAATCTGCACTCGATAATCGACTATGTAATCCAACGTCAAACTTCCCAGTTGAAAACAAATGACGTAAGGGTATACCGTGGATCAGAAATACTGAGGTACAGAATATAGAAAAGGGACAAGAAGTAACACCCCCTAAATATAACCTAGAATGCATAAAACAAGATTCAACAAAATTTATATACAAATTACGACTGGCCACAAAATTACAAAATGTGAATCGAGAAAGTATCATCGAAAGAATTATACCAGCAACTTAAAAAATGCATTCATGAGACTGCAAGTGAAGCTTTAGGGTATAAAGACAAATATGAAACAAAAAATCAAGAATGGTGGTTGGAGGTGCAAACTTAAGTCAACAATAAGAAAACTGCTTAGAAGAAACTGATGTGAACGAGACAGGAAGAAGACTGTGAGATATATAAAAAATTAAGTCGAGATGTAAAAAAAAGTAGTTTAAAGTAACAACGAGATGTAGGATCGAAGATGTGCAGAGGTGGATAGGAATATAGGTGAAACAAAAGTTGGGCAAACTTGGAAGGTGATAAAGTCCCTTCGGATGGAAGGAAAGGAAAAATCTAACTTCCAGTTAGTACATCCGAAACAGTGGAAATAACATTATGAGGTCTTACTGCCAGAGGATAGATGTAAATTTCAAGAGATCGAAATGGAACAAATATCCGAACATACACAAATAATTGAGATAACAACCGGAGAGTTAAGCGATGCCCTCAAAAGATCGAAAAACGGTAAGGCAGCAGGATCTGAAGACATCTCAATTGAGTTGGTGAAGCATGGACCAAAAATATTACATGAGATGTTGGTTCAACTATTTAATAAATGCTTAAAAGGAATGCAAATGCTCTAATTATGGGGGAATAACTGTTATTTGCTCAGTGGGAAGGTTACACGGTCAAATAATAAAAGAAAGAATAGAATCAAAATCTGAAGACATAGAAAAACAAAATGGATTTCGTGCACGAAGATGGTGCACGAAGATCATGCACTGATGATCATTCTACAGATGGTAATCAAAAAACGGAAGGCATCTAGCTATCTAGACAAGGAATCTATCTACCTACCTATTTTTTGTACATTTGTACGTGAATATATATATATATATATATATATATATATATATATATATATATATATATATAAGAGTAAGAAAAAAGAAGTACTTGTGACACGTTTGGAAAAAATATAAAACTGTTTTTGATGGGTTGGAGTCAATAAAAGGGGCTATTTGTTGACTATTTTTTACTCGAGCTTTCAATTGTGATTACAATTTTTATCAAGAGCTTCTAAAAAATACAAAATATCTTACAAAGTTGAACTAGAAATAAAAAATTTTTTGTTAACTCACCAAATAAAATTAGTTTTATATAAAACTACTGCTTACATACTAAGTACAAAAAATATTAATAAAAAAATGTCTTATTCTAATAAATGTTTCCCTGAAAAATTTTGATGAAGTTTCTTAACAAAAAATTGAATTTGTAAACAAAAATAGAGTAGCTACAAACCAGCCTAAATGTCATAAATACTAACTTAAAATTTTTTATTTTTGACATATTGTCAAAAATAAAATTTTGTTTAAAAAATTCTTCTTTGTTTAGTAACAAAAAGGAAGAAGATTTATTCACCATTGATAGATGCCCGAAAAAATGTAACAAATACATGGAATATTCAAAATGTGATATTTTACTGACTGCATATATAAATTAAATAGAAATAATATAATTATAAATTTTGCTTAAATTTTGAATTTCTGACCTTTTGTTTAAATTATTATCACTTTTGCTAATACAAACCATTTCCAAAAAAGTTCTTTTAAATTTATTACTTTCATTACATAAAATTTTAATATTATCAAAATCCATAATAGGGTCTTTGTCTATTACATGCTCTGCCAAAGCACAAGATGGTTTCTTAATTCTACAATCACTCTTGTGAGAAATAATGCGATTTGAGAGATTTCTTCCAGTCTCACCAATATACTCAGCTTCACACTGAGTACAAAAAATGCTGTATACTACATTTGTTTGATCTAATTTGTCTATAGGATATTTAGTTTTGGAATATAAAGATGAAATAGTTTTGATGTTCTTTGTTGCTATTTTTATATTGTCAATAACCTTTAATGTTTGTATTAATTTAGGAGTTAATGATGGTATAAAAGGTAGTGAATGATAATATATGTTTTGATTGTTGGATACAGTGTTTTGAGATTTAGCAAAAAATGGTGTTAAGTTATTTATATTTAATAAATTAGAAAAAAGCATCCTATGTAGCATATCTGGAGGATAAGAGTTTTCAATTAAAATATTTTTTAACAAATGAAGATCTTCTTGTAGATAGTCTGGATGAGAAAGTTTTAAAACACGTTTCTTTAATCCTGTTATAAGGTTCATTTTCATCTTATTTGGATGATTAGAGTAATAGCTTATAAATCTATTACTACATATGGGTTTTCTGAACCATCTAGTTTTCAACATATTGTCTGTATTTCTTACAATTCTCATATCAAGGAATGGTAGAGAATTATTTACCTCTTCCTCAACTGTAAATTATATATGTTGATTATGATTGTTGAAAATGTTGACTGTTTCAAGGATTTTGTGTTTAGGAAATGCCAAAACTAGATCATCTACATATCTTTTGATAAATGGAATGAAAAAAGTGCAATTATTGATACAATCACTAATAACATCATCCATGACATAACTACTTAGAATGGGTGAAAGACTAGATCCCATAGGGCTACCAAAAATTTGTTTATAAAAAACACCATTAAATATAAAAATATTAGAATCAAAAACAAAGTTGATGAGTGTTATTTAGTAATAACATTAAGTAATTAAATTTAAAGGTAAATTGGTAAAAAGAGATGTTACACCAAAACTAACTAAAACATAATTTTGTGGTAATTGGAAATTATTAATGAAATAACTAAAATCAAATGAATCTTTTATGTAAAAATTGTTTTACATAAAAGATTTTTTTTTAATGTACTAAAAAAATTTTTTTTAGATATAGACGCAAATGTATGCAACTTTATTTTTCGCAGATGATCAGGTTGTTGTAGCGAATGATGAGAAAGACATGGACTACATGTTTAGAAAACTAAAAAATAATATGAAAAATGGGGCCTCAATATGAATATGTCAAAGACAGAGTATCTTAAAATAGGAGATGATTAAGAGTTAGAAATCAGAAATCAGAAACATAAAAACATGTAATGAATATAGATAGCTCGGATCTATAATATCAAAAGAAGGCACTATCAAAAAAGACATCGAAAATAGAACGCTGCAGGGAAAAAAAACGGTAAACATTCTAAACTCTCTACTATGTTTTAAAGTAACAGACAAGAAACGTTATTGACAATTTATCGAACATTGGTAGAGCCTATTATGACTTATGGGGCAGAAGTTTAATATATCACGAAAAAAGATAGAAAAAGAATAGAAGTAGTAGAAGTGGATTTTCTAAGGAGAGCGTGTGGTGTATCCAAAAAAGATCATATTAGGAATAAAGATATTAAAAGGACAAATACTGTATATTCCAGTGTAGACAGATTTGAAACGAGACAGCTAATGTGGTACGGTCACTCGAAATGAATGAATAAAGGTAGATGGCCAAAGAAAGCTTTAAATTACATACCACAACAAAGAAGAAAATAGGAAAGGCCTTCAGTTCTCTGGGATCAAAATGTATGGTACTATATTGTCTATAAGTCACTGATTTGTGTAGTTTAGGACTGTGACTCCTCTGGTTAAAACCTCAATTTCGGTAAAAATCAATTCGTGTTGTTTGTCAAACGTTGACAAACAACTTATAGTGTAAAAGTGATTTTATTTATTTTCTGGCATTTAAAAACATTGTTAAGTTCTTGTGGCCTCTTAGAATACTCTAAAATCAATTTGACAAATATAAATAAAGAAAGAGCTAATAAAATCACACTAACCTACAACTTCCATTTGGAGTAAAACTTGATTATCATTTGGAACCGGTACAGGCCTTTCTTCCAGTTTAATTTCATTCGCTTTCTTTAAAACTACCGATAAATTTTTATTGTTCGAGGTCTTATTACCTCGATCGCATGTATTCTTGCTCGAGTTTCTTAGAAGTCGCGTAATGGGAATCTTATGAAGTTTCAGTGTTATTAAGCGCATTAAACGAAATAAAGTGGATGACATTTTAAATTTTGATAAAGTTTTAAGGTGACAGGTTCATTATTTTGATCGTTGATATTAATAGCGTATTGATCGATACGTTTACAACTTGTACTTGCTATCGATTGTTAAATAGAATTTTTTGTGTACTAAACTACCCTTTTAATAAATGAAAAAGTGTTGATTAAGAAAGTGTAAATGGAAATTAAAAATATTGATTAATAATTACTTTATTTGCTCGCATGTGATAACGTTTAGTACCAAGGCTCGCTGTACAAATTTAAAATAATTGGAATAGACAATTCTAATTATATCTAAAGTCATATACCAAATATCATTTATTTGATATTATACTGAAATTATATTATAGCAAGTAAAAATTTTAAAGGCAGAAATATGTTTTTTAATGTTATACCTAGGCAACTGCATCTAGTGTTATCGCTATATTCAATACAGAAAGTTCTATTTAACTCACGTTCCTAGTAGCCGCCATGTACGGCTCATTTTTGAAGTATTTCAGTTTAAATTAAATAGCGGTATTGTATGTTGAATCTGTATCTTCCATCTGATATTGTCGTTCGATCTGTTTATCAGTATGCGTGAGGTATCAATAAACCTAAAATGGAACATGGACGAAATGCACAATACAGGGAAACAACAAAACTATAGAGAACAACTTGAACTAACCTTGAACTCTTAAAGAGAATACGATGATATAAAACAGCTATGGGAAACGACTGCCAAAATAATAACCAAGACAGCGGACAAGATCTTTGGAAGGAGTAACCAGAAGAAAGCAAAAACATGGTATGACAAGGAATGTCGGAAACAGCTGGAAAAAAAACAAACAGTAAGAAAAACTTGGATACAACTGCAAACAGACCAAAGTAAAAAAGGAATATGACGACTTCTGAAAAAAAAAACAAGAAAAATAATACGTACAAAGAAAAGAAACTATGAATAACAAAAATATAAAGCTATGGAAAGAGACCAGCCCAAACCAGGCTCCAGAGAATTCTATAAAGCAATTTTCTCTGAGAAAAGAGGACATAGTACCAATTCCATCCACTCATCAAGAGACAGTGGATAATCCATAGGGCCATATGATAATCAACGGTAAAGAAGTAACTGAAGAATAAAAAGAGTACTTTAGGGACCTTCTATATATCATACAGGAAAAACAGCACAAAGAAGAAATCTATATCACAGCGGACAAGTCCATCAAAAATCCCTCCTTTGAAGAAACCCAGAAGACCTTAAATGAGCTGAAAAATCACAAAGCGCCGGGTACGGACGAGATACCAACAGAACTCCTAAAATATGGGGGAGACGCACTACATCGCCAAATCCACCAACTAATAACGCACATATGGTTAGAAGATATAAAGGACCATCCACAAAAAGGGGACAAAACAAAATGGGCGAATTATGGACAAATTTTAATCCTAAACACGGCATATAAAACCCTCTCAAACATAATTCTTAGTAGACTAATCCCTTATGCTGAAAAAATATCCTAGGCGAATATCACACCGGTTTTAGGGCAAACAGATCAACAATATATCAACTATTCACGCTGAGACAACTTCTAGAAAAGAGGTGGGAGTGTAACAGACCCATAAACAATATTTTCATAGACTTTCGACAGACATATGATAGCGTAGAAAGAAGCCAAGTATGGAAGGCCATGGCGGAGTTCTCAATACCAAAAAAACTCATTAGAATGACCAAAGTCTGTATGGAGGGTGAAATATCCAAAGTACGAGTGGAATATGCAAAGTACGTGCCAATAATAAACTGTCTGGTAGCTTGGAAATCAACAGTTGACCCAAGCAGGGTGATGCGTTATCTCCACTACTTTTTAACCTTGTATTAGATAAAGCCATGAGATCGGCCGAAATAAAAACAGAATTGCTATCGGTTCGAGGTCCCAAGCTATTACTCGCATATGCAGATGACATAGATCTCGCGGTAGACTCCATCCTATCCACGAAAGACATCTTCAACAAGGTGTGAGAAGCAACAAGGGAAGTCGGGCTGAAGATTAATGAAATAGAAGACGAAATATATGTGTATAAATAGAACGACACAAAGAGACAGACAGACTCACCATAACATCACCACAAACCAGAATAAGATCAGAACCAATATCGAATTAAAAGCACTCTACAACGACGCCGATATTGTACAAGAAATTAAATTCACAGCGACTAAGATGGGCAGGCCACGTGCACAGACTACATAACGAGAGACTTGTAAAACTGGTATGGGAGGAGATTCCCACAGGAAAAGAGCACTTGGACGTCCCAAAATGAGATGAAGAGATAACATCCACTTAGATCTCCGGAAAATAAACATTCCATTTGACCCTAGGTTGATGGAAGACCGAACAAATTGAAAAAAAGTTGTCAGAAAAGACTCACCCAGGGTTGTACCGCTACGTGATGATGTGAGGTCAATTGTTTGCGTTTTTAAATGACCAAGAAAACTGCTGCCAAAATAGGTGACTAATAAAATAGGGATAAGTGTCAAAAATTTAAATAAATTAAAGTTTAGATTTTTAATTTAGAGGTGGTTAAAGGCTGGATATGGACCTCATAGGTAAGATGAGATGTCGACTCTTATATTGTAATAAAACTCTGAGAAATGTACATCCATTTCTTAACGAAAGGGTTGGGGGTTCTGGAAACAGAACTCGACTCTGCCAGTAAATCCTACTGACACCTCCTCGAAGACATATATGTCGCGTATAAACCGGGTATATGGCGTACAATGGATGTGCGTTATATAGCAGCGGAGAGAGGGTGAAAGGCGAGTTTCTGACGGCTTAAAACTGGAACATGTCAGAAACTCAACAGAAAATCCTGGTCCTCCAAGCTTGAGGATTGGAGCGATGGGCCAGTCCCTTATCATCTGGAAAATACTTTTTTGACTAAAATTTCTAACTCCGAGCCTCGGAATATGGATAGAAACTTAAGATGACGACACCTAGCAAAGAAAAGGACTTTGAAAATTGGTACTTGGAACACTCAAGGCATGACTCATAAGACAATGTAAATTTAAACTGAAATGAAGCAAAAAATGAACATCACAGTGCTCTCTGAAACCAACAAGAAAGGCCAGGGATATAAATAGATTAAAGAACACATTCATGTGTGTTCAGGAAAAGAAAAACACGTACACGCTACATCAGGGGTCTCAATTCTTATAATTTTTTTTTAATATATAAAAAACTATGCGTACATTTCTGAAAAAATTCTGACAACAACTGTCATATTGTACTGCATCAAAACAATCGTTGTTGGAGTCTATGCGCCAACAGACAAATTAAATCAACAAGTTAAAGATTCCTTTAATAAACAGTTATCAAACATTTGTGATATAAAATAAAAAGTCATCAAGAAATAATACTGTTCTTCTTCTTCAAGTGCCCTGTCCGTTGCGAACGTTGGCTATTAATATGGCAATTTTGATATTGTTTGCGGCGCTTCTGAATAGTTCTACCGATGTGAGCCCGAACCACTTCCGCAGATTTTGGAGCCACGAGTGTCTTCTCCTGCCTGGCCCCTCGCTTACTGTCTATTTTTCCCTGGACAATCAATTGTAGCAGACGGTACTTATCGTGTCTCAATATGTGGCCTAGATATTCAAGCTTTCTTTGTTTAATTTTATTCACGATTTCTTTCTCCGTTCCGATTCTTTGGAGTACCTCTATGTTGGTGACATGTTCGGTCCAGGATATACGAAGAATGCGTCGGTACACCCACATTTCGAATGCTTCTAGTTTTCTCGTTAGCGTCTCCGTCAGCGTCCAGGCCTCCACGCCATACAGCAAGATCGGAAAAATGTAGCATTTAACTAGACGTAGTTTTAGGGGAAGAGACAAATCCTTGCTTATGAGGAGCTTTTTCATATTGCTAAATGCTGCTCTAGCTCGTTCTATTCTCGCCTTAATTTATATGGTCTGTTCCCATTTTGCATTTACGTTGGTGCCAAGGTACACATAAGATTCTACATGGTCAATTAGTATGTTACTTGTCCGTAATTGTCGAGCAGGTTGTTGTTTTTTGCTTATCAGCATCCACTTTGTCTTCTTGAAGTTGAGGCTCAGGCCGTATTCCTCACTAACTGAATAAAGTCTTTCCATTACTTGTTGTAATTCGTCTATGGTACTGGCAAGGATCACCGTGTCGTCGGCATATCTTATATTGTTCGTTAATTCGCCATTTGTTAAATTTTTCCTCGGAATACATATTGAATAGGAGTGGGGATAATATACACCCCTGACGGACACCTCTTTTGATCTGCAGGCTTTCAGTGAGTTTGTTGTCAATTTTTGCTCTTGCTGTTTGACCCCAGTATAGGTTTGCCACAATTAGAATGTTCTTGTCGTCAATACCTGTCTTTCGCAGAATACCTATCAATTGTTCATGATTTACATTGTCAAAGGCTTTTCTAAAATCTACAAAGCACAAATACACGTCTTTATCAACGTCTCTACACCGCTGTATAAGCACCTGGAGAGCGAAAATTACTTCTCTAGTTCCAAGTGCTTTCCGAAAACCAAACTGCGATCTATCAATATTTGACTCACATTTATCATATATTCTTTTATGAATGATCTTAGTGAACGATTTAGTGACATGACTGATCAAGCTTATAAGCAGGTAGTCATCACAAATCTGGGCATTTGGTTTCATCGGGATTGTAATAAATGTTGGCTGCAGCCAGTTCTCCGGGATTTTACCGCTATTATATATGTTGTTAAAAAGTACAACTAGATTATCAAGGAACTGTTTGTCTGATTTACATAGGATCTTTAATATTTCGCAGGGTACATTGTCCGGGCCTGCTAACTTACTATTTTTTAGTGCTGCAATGGCATCTTCTATCTCCGATTTAAGGATTGAAGGTCCTGTTTTTCCTTCTCCATATAGGTGATTATCAGTCCTGTCAGATGCAAATAATTTTTCTATGTATGATTTCCATGTTTTTAAGATCGTTGATGGCTCCGAGATAAGATTTCCATCGCTAACTTTTATGCTGTTGGG